ACCCACCATAATACTTGATGTTAACCTGTATAGTAGTGGCAGGTGTTACACAAAGGCAGACCATACCTACTCTTTTTTAAACACCCGATGATACTTCACTTTGGAGGAGTCCACTACTATGCAACTTTTACTCTCGATTTTGCCATGCTTTCGACGAGAAACAGAATTGTCTTGCTTGTACAGTTTTTTATTGACAGTGGAGCTCAGATTTTCTGTTAAAAATAATGTTCATTTTTTCTTTCAATAGAAAATCTTCAATAATAAACATCATCCTATTAAGTCTGGCATATATTTTTCTGATCATCAGTTTTAGTTTTTGATTTCTACAACTATCACGTGCGTATTATACAAGGGTGTGCATAATACAAGGGTGTACACGGGTGTGCATAATACAAGGGTGTGCATAATACAAGGGTGCGTATTATACAAGGGTGTGCACAATACAAGGGTGCGTATTATACAAGGATGCGCAGTATACATGGGTGCGTATAATACAAGGGTGCGCAGTATACAAGGGTGTGCATAATACAAGGGTGCGTATTATACAAGGGTGTGCATTATACAAGGGTGCGCATTATACAAGGGTGCGCATTATACAAGGGTGCGCATAATACAAGGGTGCGTATTATACAAGGGTGCGCAGTATACAAGGGTGCGTATAATACAAGGGTGCGCATATTACAAGGGAGCGTATTATACAAGGGTGCGTATTATACAAGGGTGTGTATTATACAAGGGTGCGTATTATACAAGAAATTATACGGTATAAGGTTCAAATTAATAAAATTACCTTCAACTGAGGTGTAAATTCTTCCATAGAATCTATCAAACCTCCAGGATGATGTTCTCCTAATGGAAAGGGATAATCACTGCCTAAAATAACTCTATTCTGAAATAACAACAGACAGAAGGTAAGCTCCTCCCACTTTAGATGGTGTGTATATATATGATGGATGGATAACAACTTCAAGGGAGATAATTTGGTAAAATATTTACAACTTTCAGATATAGGTCGATATTTTAAATTATACTTTAAGGGGTGTAATTTGGTATAAATCTACATTTTTCAATTAAAAGGTCAATATTTCAAAACACATATCAAGGGAGGCAATCTGGTAAAAAAAATTTAACTGTCAGATATATAGGTCAAAGAAGATCAGAACACACATGAAGATAAGTTGATAAAAAAATTCATCCAATCTTTTGAAAATGATTTTACAAGTATTCAATGATTCTGTCTACTAGCTGATCCTTGACCAAACCTCTTGGCATTGATCATTGACTTTATGGGTAAAAAAAAACTTGTCTTTATTGCACACATAATGGGGTTGTCCTCCTTGCAGAGATTTTCAGTAATATTGGTTTGTCTTTGAACATACCTTTCCTATCACATCCACCAATAAATCCAGGGCTTTTTTATCATGAACTAAAGAATCAGTGTAAATACGCCCTAGATAATCTCGTGGATTAACGCTATTCTGTACAGCACATAAATCTGGCCGCACATTAAAACCGTGTTCTATTCTCCCCACGGTGAACGGGAAGGCCCCACCTGAAAGATTGACATGATTATAAACATTAAACACCAACAAATTAACTGAAAGAGAGGCTGCAGAAAACACCATAAGGATCCCATCAACCAGCTTGTCCATGGATAAACCTTTTGACATTAATTTTACATGCATAACAACATAACAGCTGGGAGTACTGGAATAATGAGGAGAGATGGTTTATTCAGTATCCGTCTAGTATCAGTTTGGGCAACCGGAAAAATGACGAATGACAACTTATTCAAGAACAATCACTATTTACTGGACGTCACAAGAAAACTAATACCATGATTCAAACCCTAATGGCCGAACACAGTTTATACATTACCTCCATGAGCAAAACACACTTTTAGCTTGGGAAATCTTTCTAAAACTCCACCAAATATCATAGAACATACAGCAGTGGTAGTTTCTGCTGGCATTCCTGAAATTATCAGGATTATTAATTAATTAATTCTATCAATATAGGTTACTTGTAGACAACAAAATAAATATATCATGGTATTAATACACTTCTTTAATAACCAAGTACATAACGTTTCAACTCAATTTACACGTGTTGTCATCAGATTCACCACCCCCCCCCCCCCTTCCCCACTCTTATCATATCAGTGTTGTAGCTGGTGATACTAGCAGGGCACGACACTCTCAGCTGATCACAATTTGCAACACCTTATGATGGTTGGCTGGTATATGACAAGGTGATATATACCGGTACTTCAAGTTAACTGATATATAAAACACCTATGTAGCAATTAGAGCATATGCTGTACTGATGGACCGTGTCATCCTTTAACTAACTTTGCTATACTATTTTCTTTGTGGGTTAGACTGCTTGAAATTATTGTGGAAAGTCTACGTATTTAATTTATATTTTTATATTTACCCATCTTGTGGATAATATTACCAGAAATAAGAAAATTGACAGTAATACAGTACCTACTAACCATGGTAACCAATATTTCTTCATCCGACCAGATTGTTCCATATCCCAGGGATGTACGAAGATACTACAGTTCGTTTCTTCAGCTGCCTGATGGGTAATAAGACAACAATATAATCACTATACATTATAAAATATTGTCACAGGTAAAAAACCTTAGGCGCAATTTTCCGTACTTTTATAAAATATTTCGTTTTAACGAAATAAGTATAACGTCAAATATTTCGTTTTAACGAAATAAGTATAACGTCATATATTTCGTTTAAACGAAATATTTCATAAAAATATGGAAAATTGCGTAATATAATATTAAAACAGAAGCTGAAATATAGTTTCACAGTGTTCTATTCACAATTTTAAAAGTAACAATATGTTTTGGAATTTATTACACCAAATCAGGAGCAAAAAGCATCTCAAAGGGACAGATGCGCCATTTTGGGGGGAAGATTTGAGTCTTGAATATATGTAAATAGTCTCCTTCAAAAATATCTCAAACTATTATTTTGAAATTTAATACTGAAATCAAAATACTGGTTCAGTTTCACAAACACAAAGAACAAAAACAGATTTTGAATAATACATCAATTTGATTGGGTAATAAAACTAAATTTGAAATCAATTTTAGTGATAGACCAATCAAATGACATTAAAATATCATCTGAAGTTAAGATCATTATTTATACTTAACAGCAAAAACTGGGTATAATTCTGGAGCATCAAGATTCCAGGTGTTTATATGAGATCCAATCTGTACTCCAGGAAATCCTACAAATTATAACTTTCAGTTAAAACAGGGGTCTTATTCTCCAAACCTTAACTAAGATAAAATCCAATACAGTAATTTGAAATGATAATAGTTTAAAACCGATTTCAGTGTTTGACCAGTCAGATAACCTTTTTCGAGAACACAGTCCCACATAAAATATTCTAGGAGTTCAAGGTTCAAAAGCATTGGCATTTTAAAAGGATTTAAAAGCAGTTTTCAATATTTTCAATATTTGGCTAATTGGGACATCAATTTTAACATATATGGAACGGAAACTAACATTTTGAGGATGATATTCAAATTCACATAAAATATTGAGAGTAAAATTCAGTGATGAAACAGAGGTCAAACAAACACTCTTTATTATTATTTTGATATTCTCATAGATAGTATCAGTAACATTCAATAATAAAACAAAACACTCCTACCTAATTCTGTTCTACAGCGTCTCAGTTCCTGTACAGCTAACTCTGGAGCCTGCATGGGTAACGTTCCCAGCCCTACAAATCTGTCAGGGTGTGTCTTCACTGTCTTGGCCAGATCATTATTTAGTAATTGAGAAAGGTCTGCTGTGTCTTGAGGTTTTGCCTTAAAAAATTTTTAAAAAATACCTTTGAGGGTACAGGATGAAAGGGTCTCAAAAACAGTTGACGATTGAAGGAACCAGAAATATTTCTAACTTTGAGGGCGCAATAGATAGACACTTTCATTTTTAATATAGCCACTTTAGAGTCCTAAGTCGGCCCTCTTGAACGTTTGTCAAATTAATCTTTTGACCTAACCTGATAAACACCGCGTCACAAAATGGCAGCGCTGTAGACGGTAGAAATTTGATTGTTTAAAGCAGAAGTCATAGAGTTAGGTCAAAAGGTTAATTTGACGAACGTTCAGAAGGGCTGTCGTTAGACCTGGCCACATATTCACGAATCGATCTTAGCGCTAGGATGTCCTAATATCCTGCTTATTCCCAGTCAGTAAATGGTGTCACAATGTAAAAACCTAAGGGTAAAATTGCCCCAGGATTAGATAAAGGTATATAAACTGGACAGAAGTCAGAAGTTATAAGTAACACTCTTACCCAATAGTTGAACATGACTGGCACAGTCGATAATACCTGTACATCCACTCCTATATTAAATATAAAACACAAATTGAGAATACTGTAATAATGAAATGAAAGGGAGTTTTACATCCTACTTTTCTGCAATTGTTATGGGCAAAGGACAACAGCAATAGCCTAGTTTTTTTGATTCTTTAATGTCCACAGCCTGTAGGACACAGGGCCTTGGTTTATTGCCCCTTGCAGCAAATAAACTCTTTTCCCGTATCATTCAATTAGACCGTCATAACTGACAGGGGAAACTTTCAGAAGTGAAATATACTCATATTCTCTGAATCTACTCCAGCTGACAACTTTCAAAATAGCTATCAGAGACTGAGATAGAGGCAGATGTTGGGACTGAGGACAACCTGGTACTCATATCTGCCTTGCACTGACCTGTTTCATTCATTTCCTTCATTCTTGTCTCAGGACACCAACAATTGGCATCAATTTCACGGAAAAACACCTCATCTTTCATCATTTTAGCTTTTCCTTGACAATGGTGATCCAGACGAATAAATCCTCCATATCCATATCTCTACATTCATATAATACAGTTATTATATCATCTTGATTAAAATATAGTCTATATCTCTACATTCATATAATACAGTTATTATATCATCTTGATTATAATATAGTCTATATCTCTATATTCATATAATACAGTTATTATATCATCTTGATTATAATATAGTCTATATCTCTACATTCATATAATACAGTTATTATATCATCTTGATTAGAATATAGTCTATATCTCTATATTCATATAATACAGTTATTATATCATATTGATTAGAATATAGTCTATATCTCTATATTCATATAATACAGTTATTATATCATCTTGATTAGAATATAGTCTATATCTCTATATTCATATAATACAGTTATTATATCATCTTGATTAGAATATAGTCTATATCTCTACATTTATATAATACAGTTATTATATCATCTTGATTATAATATAGTCTATATCTCTATATTCATATAATACAGTTATTATATCATCTTGATTATAATATAGTCTATATCTCTACATTCATATAATACAGTTATTATATCATCTTGATTAGAATATAGTCTATAACTCTATATTCATATAATACAGTTATTATATCATCTTGATTAGAATATAGTCTATATCTCTACATTCATATAATACAGTTATAATATCATCTTGATTATAATATAGTCTATATCTCTATATTCATATAATACAGTTATTATATCATCTTGATTAGAATATAGTCTATATCTCTACATTCATATAATACAGTTATTATATCATCTTGATTAGAATATAGTCTATATCTCTATATTCATATAATACAGTTATTATATCATCTTGATTATAATATAGTCTATATCTCTACATTCATATAATACAGTTATTATATCATCTTGATTAAAATATAGTCTATATCTCTACATTCATATAATACAGTTATTATATCATCTTGATTAGAATATAGTCTATATCTCTACATTCATATAATACGGTTATTATATCATCTTGATTATAATATAGTCTATATCTCTACATTCATATAATACAGTTATTATATCATCTTGATTAGAATATAGTCTATATCTCTATATTCATATAATACAGTTATTATATCATCTTGATTAGAATATAGTCTATATCTCTATATTCATATAATACAGTTATTATATCATCTTGATTGTAAGGGGAGATAATATATATTATCATGTTATTGTGGTTTGGTGATATAATGGTTACGAATTCTCTTGCGAGAACTACATTATTTCCAGTTAACTCTTTCTGGAATAGTAGGAACCACAGGCATCGGACGAAGAATTGGAATGTCCCCGATATACATAAAATGGCTAGAAAACCTCTTTACAATCTCTTTAACAAAGTTGATTTCATCAATATACCAGTTTTACAGTGCCCAATAGACAGTTGTGATTTGGAATCAGAGGACCTGGATGCATGGTTTCAGCTGCCCTCTTCAGATTCATGACAGAACAGTCAATCCGTTGTCGCTCAACAAGCAACACGTTAGACCCTATCATACATGATGTCTGCACTTAAGTAGGGTATGCTTACTCTTCTAGCGGAAGTCGACCTTTGAACTTATTATTTTTACCCTACCTTCTCTCCTTTTTAGAAGGAAAGATGAATAGCTCTCTTAAATTTTCAAGTATTTTGTTTCCAGTTATTTGTATTTTACACTTTACATTTGTATATAATATGTTTCTGTTATTTATATATTTATTTGAATCAACTGTCTTTGAATAAAATCAGACCATTTGTAGTCACTCATTGTTAATTGTTCTAAAGATAAAAAACCTGGGACAAACAAAACTGTAATAAAATAGTGAAAAACTTGAGCACATTTTAAGCTAACGAATATAAAAATGGCATATTTATTTTTGGTAAAAATTCGTACAATATTGGTGAAAACAGAGCTAAACTAGTTCTCGGTGAGTTTCTTGATGCCCTGCCCTACCCTGCACCCCACCCCTGGACCCTGTTAAGATTTGCTGGACTAACTTTACAAAAAATATATGGTTCATATGCCCCTCCTGAAGCTTATTAGGCCAATTAATTCATTAAAAAAAAAACAATTTGGCCATATGATTGAAATCAGTTTCACATTGAAGAGATAAACAATAGGTTAAGTTAGGTTAGATGAAGGTAAAGAGATAGACTGATTGTTATGTAGACCTACTTATTGTACAAGATAAGAAAAATCTGACAAAAAATGATGTCCATAGTAAGTCTTTTAATGGAGAATTTCGTATGTCATCCACTTTCTAAAAAGATCTCTGGGCATTATCTCTGTTGTTTGATATCTAATGCACCTACCTGCTTTAAATCTGGCCATTTTTCAGGCAGGATGTGGGTATGCAAGTCAATCTTCATGGTTATCTTTGATTACCCGAGAATTCCCTTGACAGCCTGCTACTTTCCCTTGCATTTTAACCTATTGACCTATAACCTCTGATCTTAACTGACCCCCATTTCAACCAATCATCATTCACCTTGATTTGATCTTGATTTTCAAGACGCTTCATATATTTCGCTAGAATTTTGACACATTAACAAATTTTGTTCGTCTTTGAGAGATTTGATTAGACTTTTATCACTTTCATGTGATTTTATTTAAAAGGGTTGATTAAATTAACTAAAATGGGCATCAATGAAGTACCGGTATTACGTCAATGGTTTTGATGCATTAATTCAATTTGAAACAATGAAACCAAAATTGATCCATGACTGACAGAAAATGAAAGAAAGTCTATCCTTTTGTAAAGATTCTATTGTAACTGCACAAAAACACCGAAAAATGACGTAAAAGTAATTATCTATCTGCTAATTAATAGGTAATTAGATTCATTAAGATTGTAGACTCGATTAACAGGGGAGATGTAAACAAAGTCTCTATTAACAGGTCACTCGATATTGATTGGCTGAGATATTTGTCATTAACCAATGAAATGAGAGAATACCTGCTCAGATTTTGACGGTGTCTCAACAGGTATGACAATTTCTGTTTATTTCATGTTTGACGACAAAAAACTTCATTTTTTGGCAAGTTTCGGTTTTGATCTTTGGGTTGTGTATAGAAATATGAATGATCTTTAAACTTGAGGCAAAAGTCCTTCTGAAAGTGCCCCCGATCGTGTTCTTGAATGAATTTTTCTCTGACATTTGACATTGTTTATCTGTCGATCTAGTAAGATTATATTGATTAAGGTAGAGAAATCAAGGTCTAGATAATAATGAACAGGTTGTCGAAGGATTGGGTATTGACTTAAACTAGATTATAACTGACAGGTCGATTAATAGGGTCTTGGATATTTGGCACAGTGTTGTGAATACTTCAAGTATTCCAGTCTTTGTTCTAATAAGGGGTCTAAATGTAATTTTTCAAACACAGGCTACATTTATTATCATAATTATTCATTTGTTTGTGTCCAATTCTACTATTTAGATCAGTACATGTATATTAAGAAATATTGAAACATAAAGTGTCATATTATGTTTACTCAGAGTTTCACGCTGTGCAATCATTCAACCCAAATTCTTCAACCTGTTTCTCAACTGAATAACACCTGGTTTTCCTCTATCAGTGATGCAGTTAACAGGGGCTGACATGGAAAAAGTGTCTAGTCTAGGACAATAAACCGAGGCCCTGTGTGCTACAGACTGTGCATGTTATAAGATTCCTTGACAGTTGGAAATCAGAAAAGAACAGGCTAATGCCGCTGTCCTGACAAGATTTCCCTCATTGTACCCTGCATGGCGTTGTCTGTCTTCATTAGCCCACAAGGTGCAGAACAGTAGGACATTTCATTTTACCTACTGAATTATGTAACTCTAGGCCAACAATCTAGAAAAAATTTAATTACCTAGTGAACACTTTTCAGAATGTCTCTTGAATTTGGTTGGAGAACTTGTCTACAGAAGTTAACAACTCAGCAACAAGTGGTTTCATATACAAGAACTACTTTCATTCAGTGCCGGAGCCAGGTTGACGTCCTAGGGGGGGGGCGAAACATCTGAGGTTGCCCAAATTTCTAACCTAGTTATGAGATTTTTGCCCGAAAAACATGCTTTCGGGCTGCCCCCTCTGACCCCTCTTTTGGCCCCGCCTCTGCTTTCATTATAAAAGAGGACAAAACAAAATTGAATAAGAACACGTTTACACAATATCAGGGATCGCCGACAATATTTTAAAATATTTTCTACAATCCTGGTGTAAATGTAATTATAAATATGTATAGGGTGATGTCACCTCACTTGTTTTAATACCCTTTTATCTTTTGTTATGTTTTATTCTCTTGCTGGAAGCGAAAGTTAACTTGTCATCTACCTACCTACCATTCTCTTGCATTACATCTGTGACGATACGTGTATATTGTGTTGAAACGTATGTGCCTAACCTTATAAGTGTGTTATATTCCATAATATTGTCTTGTGTTTTGTTATATTTGCTCCTTGCTTCTATGTGTCGTTCAAATCTGATGTCATGGGCAGCGAAAGTTCTTCAGGCAACATGAAATCAATTAAAGCCCTGCAACTAGTACGCTGGTGCTCAATACTTTAATTCTAGAGCTGGAAATATTTCTGATGATGTAGTTTATAGTTAGAATTGAAGTTATTTATTGAAGATTACTGATTGGACATAATAATAATAATCGTGCATTTATATAGCACCTATTTTCTAGAAAGTTCTACTCAATGGCGCTGGGTTGCTGTGTCATATCTGGTATTCACAAGTGAATAAGTGTGTCTTAAGGCGAGTTTTGAATATGTCCACTGACTTTACATCTTTATCATGTTTTTGTAGGTTGTTCCATAGCACAGGTGCTGCAACCAGAGTAAACGCGCAAAGTTTTAGGCACAACAAAATCTTTACTAGTTGTTGAATGTGTAGACAGATTATATAAAGTAAAGTAATAAATCTGTTAGTCTGTATTATGAGATAATGTAATTTTTTCGAAAAATTTGATTTTTTTCATTTTAGAACTACTGAACACAATGTAAATTAATAAAGCTGTCAGCCTCTACTATCAGTCCGTCCAGCTGTACAACATGCCTCTCTCTGATCAACGGAGACACAAAACTACCGAAGGAAACAGTAAACGATTAAAAAGAACAGATTCAGAGAAGTAAGTTGTTTTACATGGACCTGACATGGCAAGAGAACCGTTTAAATCAAACCAAGTGTTTTGTTGCCTTGCAAGGTTTTTAGATTATAAAATTATGACAACTTTCTTTAAAAGGATTGTAAAGAGGTTTTCTATTTCGAGGACACTGATAGCATCAATTTGCACCATTCTAATTTTCAGTTAGAAGTCTCAGATTCCAGAAATTCTAGACAATTTTGAATAAGTTGTCTCTAATCTCAAAATATGCTTGTATCACATAAGGCCTTTGTTATTAGTGATGTCATCAAACACACAGTTTTACTGGAACCACACAGACATCTTATTGAAATTTGGAATGGCACAAATTGATGCTATCAGTATCCCTGATACACATAAAAAATTTCGAAAAATCTTAGTACAATCCATTTTATTCATTGTTACACTGTGAAAACGAGTAGAAAATTTGAAAATCTTTTCTTTTGTGTCCAAAATTTCAAGAATTATGGCATTTGAAATTTCCAAAGATATAGAAGACGTATGAAAGAAGAACCCCCCCACCCCTTCCTTCATTCAGTCATTTAGATAAAAGTTTTTGAAATGTAAAAAAGCTCTTGACCTGATGATATGTAATCTATAAAGGGGGTTTGTTATCATGGTTTTTGTGATAACCTGTTCTGATTGAGATGATCAACCTTACATCCCCTACTAGACAGTTTATCACTTGACAAACCTTAATATATCATATTGAAATTAGTATCAATATGGTCTGTCTGAGAGGCATGCCCAGTTGATAAAACTTTATCAGTAATTGGGGTGGGGGGGGGGGGAGTGGGAGTGTGAGTCAGTAGACTTTGAAACTGGCTTTTCTCAACTATTAAATTAATAATGATTGGGCAAACAACTTCTAGTAACCAGCTGTTCCTGAATGATTCAAATTAATTGCTGGATTTAGCCATCCTAGCTTGCCCACGACTCGCCGAACAAACATAGTTCTTGTCAGTTTCTTCTTTACATGACGTCATTTGTTTGTTTATGTTGAAAAATTGGTGGTTGTGTGAAAGATGAATAAGTCGTGGGATAATCCAGGAAGATTAATAACAAGAGGTTTGGGCAAAGACCAGCTGATAGAAAGGCATCGTATCATGAATACAGGTTTTGACATGGTCTTATTAACCCGTATTAAACTAAACCCACTACACTTGGTTTTGGGGCGTGGAAATGAGACTGGTGGCATTTAAATCTGACCAATCAGATCAGTAGAACCGAACAGCCCTGAGGAATTATGACGAATGGGGTGTGGTTTGGACACACGACGGTAGAAAGGATTCTTAACTGTGAACCTAAGTTGGTATCCTTGTAAAATATAGTTGTTTGTTTATTTCTTTCTGTAAAAGAATGATGATCCTTGAGGAGAATTAAAAATGTTTTCTCTCATTTTCAAGGGAATTAAAGGAGCTACACCATTTATTAGAGGTACTGAATTCACCAGCTTCAACCCAACAGGTAAATTTTTAAGTGATTGATTCCCTTTTAAGAATTTCTCTTATCCTGAGGCCTTACCCTCCAAAACTTAATTTAAGATGATTTTAGTATTCTAGTCATCTGATTGGTCAATCACTAAAATTTAAATTTAGTTTAAATGCGAGAATAGACAATGTCCGGTGCTATGTACGGTGCAGAATAATCGATACAAACGAAAATAGAAGAAGTGAACTCACAAGGTATGGGTCAGGACATGGTGCAGACACAATTCGTTTCTTCTATTTTTTACTGTATTGACAATTCCACACTGTACACCACACCAGACACCACACCAGACACCATACACCAAACCAGACACCGTACACCAAACCAGACAACGTACATCAAACCAGACACCGTACATCAAACCAGACATCGCACACCAAACCATACACCGTACATCAAACCAGACACCAGACACCGTACCAGACCCCGTACACCACACCAGACACCGTACATCGCACCAGACACCGTACATCACACCAGACACCAAACCAGACACTGTACACCACACCAGACACCGTACACCACACCAGACACCGTACACCAGACACCGTACACCAAACCAGACACTGTATTCCACACCTGACACCGTACATCACACCTGACACCGTACACCAAACCAGACACTGTACACCAAACCAGACACTGTACATCACACCAGACACCGTACACCAAACCAGACACTGTACATCACACCAGACACCTTACATCACACCAGACACCGTACATCACACCAGACACCATACATCACACCAGACACTGTACATCCACCAATCAGATTACTGTATTGTTTGGATTTTACCTAAGTTCAGTTTTTGTGAATAAGACCCTAGGAGGTTTAAATGTTCTATATATTTGACTGGCCCCAGGAGGTTGAAATACTCTACATATTTGACTGGTCCCAGGAGGTATAAATGCTCTACATATTTGACTGGTCCCAAGTGGTATCAGGACAATACATCAACAGATTGCAGTGTGGTCATCTGAATCGAAGAAAAATACATTATAAATATAAATCAAAATTGTTAGATTCAATCCATATATTTCTATGTAATTCTATCATTCCTGTATTCTCAAGTTAAAAATAGTGCTGGTGGTATTTTTCTACTACCTCATTTCTCTTTGTGAATGTGCATTGTCAACACCTACCATTTCAAAGTTTGATCTTAACCTTTGAACACTGAATGTAAATCAAATTTAACGTCATATACCCTGAACTCCACGAAATATAACCTAAAGAGTGTGTGACATCACTAAGTAACTGCTGGTTTACAGACTATATATTAAGTAAGGGCGTGGCTGGTAATAGGTTAACCCTCTGGAATTTAGGACTCATCCAAGTTTAAAGAATTCAAAAATGATATTTGGCCAACCACGTGCTCCAGACTAAAATTTAAGGATTGATTCACCAACACACTCAACAAACTTTTACTTATCTTTATTACAGCTCCAAACAGTTGATCATGATGATAGCCAGCAAGGTCAAAGGTCAAATACCAGACCAAGGTCATGGTCAAACCCAGAGAAATCGCAAGCCGTGGCCCTTCATAAGTTTAGGTAGGTCTATGTTACATGTGGAATCTTCTTCTTTATTGCCCATTAACATGTTTTAATTTTTGCCATCTGGCTTAGAATTAATATTTGGCCACTACTGGTTCGAGGCACATAGCTAACCCAGGGTTTCAGGGAGGGTCGAATTGTTTTTTGTAACACAAGATGTAAACTTGTAACTTCTTGCCAATGATCTTCTTTATTTATCAAATAATTCATTCAGTGGCGCAGCCAGGATTTCATTGACAGGAGGGCCATTGACATACCTTTGTAGATTTTAGAGGACACTACCTATCGTGGGGAAGTCAGAGTGGCCTCCCACTGGAAAATTTTCTAGTGTGGGAAGCCGGAGAATACATGATTTTGGAAGTTAAAGTAGAATGAATTTTTCAGTTTTTATGGTCTGTAGGGGGAGGGGGGATCCTGGCCAAAAAAAAACCAGACTGAATATGTCACCGAATTCATTGTTTCCAGAGTGATTGTTTTCAGACCTGTTGAGCTATAATGTGTTTAGTTATTTGAATGATCTGATATATTGTAAACATCAGATGTAAACTTGTTATTTCAGTCTAAGATACCAGAATGTCCGAAATTTCAACCAGAGCAAACATTTCAAATTATTTGAAGATATATTTTCATTGCTCGTGACAACTAGACTAAGTCAGAGGTAGGTACAAATATTTCCAAGTTATATGAAAAATGTTTGTTTTAGTATAGTATACTTCTCCTTAGTTTTATTGTACACAACGTTTCTACAATTTACATTGTCATCATCAGTATATATGGTATACTACTCCTGAGTTTTATTGTACACAACGTTTCTACAATTTACATTGTCATCATCAGTTTATATAGTATACTTCTCCTGAGTTTTATTGTACACAACGTTTCTACAATTTACATTGTCATCATCAGTTTATATGATATACTACTCCTGAGTTTTATTGTACACAATGTTTCTACAATTTACATTATCATCATCAGTTTATATGGTATACTACTGCTGAGTTTTATAGTACACAATGTTTCAACAATTTACATTCATCATCAGTTTATATGGTATACTACTCCTTAGTTTTATTGTACACAATGTTTCTACAATTTACATTGTCATCATCAGTTTATATAGTATACTACTCCTGAGTTTTATTGTATACAATGTTTCAACAATTTACATTGTCATCATCAGTTTATATGGTATTGTACTCCTAGGTTTTATTGTACACAATGTTTCTACAATTTACATTGTCATCATCAGTTTATATGGTATACTACTCCTAGGTTTTATTGTACACAACATTTCTACAATTTACATTGTCATCATCATTTTATATGGTATTTTACTCCTAGGTTTTATTGTACACAACGTTTCTACAATTTACATTGTCATCATTATTTTATATCGTATTTTACTCCTAGGTTTTATTGAATACAACGTTTCTACAATTTACATTGTCATCATTATTTTATATCATATTTTACTCCTAGGTTTTATTGAATACAACGTTTCTACAATTTACATTGTCATCATTATTTTATATCGTATTTTACTCCTAGGTTTTATTGAATACAATGTTTCAACAACTTGTTATGTTATTGTCTGTGTTTATAACAAATCTAATACAGAAAATTTTAATAAAAACTCCATTGTATTGTAGTAAATGGTTGAACTCGTCATCAGATGAAACTGTTGTTAGACTGTTGGTTTGTTTACGTATTTTAATGAGAGATTGTTATTTTCAAACATTATTTTTTAAACTGGGTGGAGTTCAAAGTCTATCAGAGGTAAGATCAAGTTCAGGTTTTATTCCTGGAGGGACTGGAAACCCCTAAACCCATCCATCTAACTGCAGAATATATCTTTTTGCTTCAATTTCATTGCAATTTAGTAAGTATCATTTATGTTTAGGTTTCATTCTTGTAGCAAAAGGCAAAAGTACTGGATACAATTAACTTATAACTCCCTCGCTTGCTGAGTTCTACACACATACATGTGTAATCTAGCTATGTTGTCGGGTTTCTACCACTTTTGCATGTTGTCCACTGCTCTACCGACAGGATACTCAATTCTACCGCTTTTTTGTTTTTTTCCTGACCAAATTATCAAAGGACCTACCATTTTCAATGTCCAAAGTCTGTACCATGTAGACAGCATGTTTTAGATTCATAGAATCAACGGAAGGCACAATAAGACAATATGGAACAAGGTTCAGAACGCGTTCGACCTGTGCTGAAAAACAGATTAAAGAAGGGTCAATTTTGAATAAATAATAGGCCTACCAACTTTCTGAACTGCAAAGTGGAATCCGAAATCCAAAACAATATTTTGGTGAAACATTGGTAGCAGCTAATTATAAGTGAAGAATGTGACATGCACAGTACCGTTTTGTTTGGAATCGAACACCACCTTTGTCTTATTCCTCCATCGTAATAATCATCAGTTATCTCCCTTTAAAATAGGCACACTTCTATCTACACCTATTGTCTGAGCAAAGTAAAAAGTTTTTTGAATTTTTTTTATTATTTTTATGAGTATTGGAATACCAGACTCAAAATAGTACTGTAAGTCTAAGAATGACTTTGCATTGATAAAAATATAAACATAAGCACACATTATGTCTTCAAAATTTGTTTTAACAGAGGAAAATTTTTCAGGGTTGAAATTCCTAGGAGACAAATGTGTTTCTTTTCAATGTGAACTTACAAAAAATTATATTTTTATCAACACAAAAACTTTCTAAGACTAACAATACTATTTTGAGGCTGATATTCCAATTCTCTTAAAAATTATGGATGAAATTCAAAAAAAATATTTACTTTTCTCAGACGATAAATCTGTATTTTAATATTTAAGAATGTATTAAATGGATTCTGTATAATATCTGATTGTTGATTGTATGACGAAATGCTATTAAAATTGATAATCTAATTTGAAAAAAGGCAAAAAACCTCACACTGGAAGGTTCATATCTACAATAAAGGCCTTTTGTTGTCAATGTATGGATGCACATATGACCTTTTAATAAGAATATTTGTAATATTGCGGGTTTAAAATGAGTATACAAATGCACATTAAAAGCATCTAACCAAAGATTTTTTGGTCATAACTACAACTTATGACCTTATAGTTCTATGACATCGATATCTAAATCTAAATCAGAATATACTGCCATATTATACACAAAAAATTAGATAGTTTCTGTTTAATTGATTGTCCATCTTTTCAACTGTTAACCCTTGTACTGTATATTTCCGAATAAAATACCCAGTTTTTTACCCCAAAATGGCCCCTTACAGAAGGGGTGCGTACTATACACAGTGAATTAAATTTTGAGTTTTTTTCCCTTCGAAAATACCGTGAATCGATGTTGAGGATCCGCCATTTTGTCTTCTTTCATTGCCATGTTGTTATGTTTATACAATCTAATAACTCATTAGACTGCAACCTCAAATTTTCGTCAACAAGGGGTGCACATTATATACGGGTTAATGGATTTTTCCAGATTTTGATGGGGTAAGGAAGGGGTGAGTATTATACACGCTTGAGCATTATATTCGGATATATATGGTATTCTTCATGTTTATCAAATTTAGTCCAGAAAAAAATGAAACAACACTTTACATCTATCAGTGAATTGATATAAAAAATTCTTATTAAATTTTCTAACTTACTCAGCTTCAAAAATAAAAATAAAAAAATGAAAAATTAATTTTTTAGTATCGAGTAGTTTAAATTGATTTAGTATTATAAATGTTTTTTTAAAAATTAAAAACAGGAATGGTGTCAAGAATACGTCATTCCTTAAAAAAAAAAAAGTTTAGTTCCTAATAAAACTTAATCCATCAATCCATGAGGACTTTGACTTTAGAGTACTGAGTAGATTTAATCATAGATCTGTAAAAAAACCTGTTACACAGCATCTTCTATGATAGATTCAGGAATAAAACCTTGAGTTAATTTATTTCACTCCATCATAAGGTGTTTCAAAGCATAGTGTCAACGCCCTTTGAAATCTCCCAATCTTTGGAGACTGGGGGTAAAAATAGGGGGGAGACTAACATCATGGGGGGACAACTGTCAAGGTTGAGAAGGTTCACCTTAAAGTACGATAAAAGTAGAATTGATTTGGTGCATTCTGACACATATTTTGGGGACAAAAACATACAAAACATTTTTGAAGTTGTTAGAAATGAAGTAGGGATACAAACCATTTTTCTCTGCACCCCCCCTGGTGCCACCACAGCTCAGCTTGATCACTTGCATCATTGTTGGAACCATAATCAAGAATTGATTTGGTGCGTTCTGACACATATTTGGGGACAAAAACATATAAAACATTTCCAGCCCATCTGTTGATTGGCTCACACTACCCAATGATATACAAAAAAATGTGATAAAACCATTTTTCCCTGCACCCCCCCTGGTGCCACCACAGTTCAGCTTGATCATTTGTATCATCGTTAGAACCATATTCCAATATGATAGTCTGTTGATTGGCTCACACTACCCAATGATATACAAAAAGATGTGATTAATTTCAGTATTTTGAAGAGATAACGGAGGTGTATTTAACAGAGAATGTAGGTCAATATATGATTGATGTACTGAAAGAGATTACTAGTAAGTTTTTAAATTACGTTTTAGTACCGGAAAAAATACTATATAATACTGATTTATTGACTAATCTGACGTACGAAGATGAATCAGTTTGTGTTGTTTTTGTGAAATTTGTGACTCACGGTCGTCGTTTGAGTGAAATCTATATATCAAATGGATTCAATGATGACCAACTGAAATGGAGGGTGGTAAAATGGGGTGTATCTTCTGTTTTATACGCATGTATCTATCTTTGGTCAGTGATTATTGGTGGCACCCATGTCCCTCTATATCTATCTACACCAATCAATTTCAGTATTTGACCAATCAGAACACTAAAATCATCTTTTGTTAGACTTTCAAGAAACCATGACTACAAAAAACAAACTTTTAAGTTCTCTTAACTTGGTGAAAGTCTGGAATTGATTTTAAACCAGTCAGATCATACTATTTCCTATGATGATAGTATTTCCTATGATAGTATTTCCTATGATACTATTTCCTATGATAGTATTTCCTATGATAGTATTTCCTATGATAGTATTTCCTATGATATTATTTCCTATGATAGTATTTCCTATGATAGTATTTCCTATGATAGTATTCCTATGATACTATTTCCTATGATATAGTATTTCCTATGATAGTATTTCCTATGATAGTATTTCCTATGATACTATTTCCTATGATGATAGTATTTCCTATGATAGTATTTCCTATGATAGTATTTCCTATGATAGTATTTCCTATGATACTATTTCCTATGATACTATTTCCATGATGATAGTATTTCCTATGATAGTATTTCCTATGATGATAGTATTTCCTATGATAGTATTTCCTATGATAGTATTTCCTATGATACTATTTCCTATGATGATAGTATTTCCTATGATAGTATTTCCTATGATACTATTTCCTATGATACTATTTCCTATGATGATAGTATTTCCTATGACAGTATTTCCTATGATAGTATTTCCTATGATAGTATTTCCTATGATAGTATTTCCTATGATACTATTTCCTATGATGATAGTATTTCCTATGATAGTATTTCCTATGATAGTATTTCCTATGATAGTATTTCCTATGATAGTATTTCCTATGATACTATTTCCTATGATAGTATTCCTATGATAG